CAATCGACATGAGATGTATTGCTTTCTTTATGGTGGAAACAACTTGTTCGGAGCCCATCAGGGGTGTGTTTTCCCCTCCCTGAGACATTTCCTCCCTGAGACATTTTCGTCGTCCTTTGTTATACCGGTCGTTTGGTTGTTGGAAGGTTCGAAAAATGCAGGCAGGTGCAGGCACGACACTTTGGGGGGGGGTGGCAGTTTCTTTGAAAAATGTGGGACCGTAGCTGCCCGTGGGACCGCGGACTGGCACCGCACGCTGGGTTTGGTCGAAACGGTGGCAAAGCAGTGAACTTTGGTGGGTGGTGGCAGTTCCTTTGAAAAATGCGGGACCGGTAGCTGCCCGTGGGACCGCGTGCTGGGTTTTGGTGGCAAAGCAGCCGGAGGGTGGAAAAGCGAAAAAGTCTGAAATAGGAAACTACGCGGCCTTGGCCGCAGGTTGAAACTACCCACCTGCATTTCATTTGCAAGTGCATACTTCTAAACCTCACCAATAAGGCCTCCTTGGGCGTCGCAGCACGGACACGAAACGAAAAACGAAACGAGTGCATCTTCCTGCAGAAAATGTCCAGGTTCATCGGTTTGCTATAAATAGTAGGCAGTGTATTTTGCCCCCTTTCGTGGGCAGATGCACTCGTTTCGTTTTCGTTTCGTGTGCCGTGCGGAGAGACCCTTTATCAATCAAGCATATACAAACGGGCTGCGCACCCGTGCCCTCACGGTAAGTCAATCTTTCCTGTACTTCCCCTACCGGCCACCTCACCCCCTCTCCCGCACACTTCGACCGGACGTGCCCACAAGTCGCAGTACACCCAATTCCGCGTAGGCGGAGTCTGTGGTCAGCCGCGTTTAAGCGCGCCGAGCACAAACCCTTCAACCGTCCGTCCGAGCTGCGTCCGAATGACTGACTGGGTTTCTGACGAGGGGTAGTTCCACCTTCCTGCCACAGAGTGAGTGTGGGCGGCAGAGGTTGAGAACAGGTTGCCCCGAAAACTGGGACGACAGCACGGCTACCGGTAGGGTTGGTCCCAGGAGAGGAGAACAGGAATTTGGTGTCGCCGGCGGCCAGAGTACAGCTGACGGTCTCCCGCGCTCACCCGCCCGCGGCCGCGCGCTGGTTGGAAGAGAGTCCTACCTTAGGCGCGGTTCAACTATGCGAAATTTCCTTTTTAGGTGCTTATTACGGCTGTTCTCCAGATTTGACGAATCGACGGTCAGAACGCACTACCTAGTTTGCTGCTGGCGGATTGCCCCTGGGTTTTGCGGGTTGATGCCTGTTACTGTGAGCGCGCCAGATGCAGCCGCCTTGACCGTGTAGGCTGAAGTGTCGGCGTCAGCCTCAAAGTGCTCTGACTGACACAGATTCAAGCGGCATGCGTGTCCGTGGTTTCGACGAAATCACTGCCCGTAGCCGTGTGAGGGGCAGAGAACGGGGGAAGGGCAGAGGACAGGGTGGTGGCGATCGGGGAGTGGGGAATGCGACGCCGCTCCCCCCATTATTGTTAGGAATTCGTTCTTTGCAATTCCTCGACTCCACCCTGTCGTCTTCCTCTTCGTTTTGGCCATCGCCATCCCCCTTGTGTCGTGTCGTCATCCTGCCACCTGTCCTCCACAGCGCGTACTTTCCCAGTTCGTTCTCCCATTCATACCTCCGCTTTTCGGATTGAATTGAACGTCCACGTGGCCGGTGATCGGACCGTCTATTTCGAATGTTCTCGGATGCTGAGGCAGTCAAAGTGGAGCACTCGATGACGCGGGATCGGCGGCGCACTCACGGGATAGTTAAGAAACAGATAGCGATTCAGAGCCTGCCACAGCCGGTGATCTCCTTGTCATTTTCCGGGTTTGTGGAGAAAAGGAGGCTGTAGAGGCGGGGGGAGAGGGATTGGAATTGGTCTGCGTTTTCCACAGGAACGGCATACCTACCTGCGGTTGTCGTCGGCAGACACGTGTTTACATGAGAGGAGTATCTATAATCGCGAAGTCGGCTGTATGGGAGGGTGCAACAGGGGGGGGGGAGAAGCGACGGAGCTTGACAGGGCAGAAAGTGCGAGGGGGGGGAAAGCTTGTTACTAATGTGGACATGTAGCTGGCACTTGAACCATAGAGGGAAGAAGTGAAAATAGAGGGGGAGAAGGCTATCGCGCCACTGCGCATGTGGCGGAGGTGTTGATCGGGTGAAAGCCGCCGTCTTGACTGCCATTTGTGTCGTGGGAAGGGCAGGGGACGGGAAGACGTGGGAGCTGCCGCGGATCGAGAGCTTCGATGGCGCACGAAAGCAGCACCACGATTGTCATGATGATGATGTCATGTCTGGCTTGCTTCTACGTGGCTGGAAGGTATGTTCCCGTTCCCAACTTTCCCCCTTCACCATAACAAACCATGCACGGCGCACACAGTCACAATGCAGGGGAGGGAGAGAGAGAGAGAGAGAGAGAGAGAGAGAGAGAGAGAGAGAGAGAGAGAGAGAGAGAGAGAGAGAGAGAGAGAGAGAGAGAGAGAG